GCAGGCCTGCAGGCTTCGCATTTGCGAAGCCTGGCTCGCAAATGCGAGTGGCTTTTCGCAATTGCGAAGGAAGCCCAGGCCAGCCCCTTCTCGCAAATGCGAGGACATTAATCGCAAATGCGATGCCCAGCGTTTATGAAGTCGCAAATGCGAAGGTCCAGCATTTATGAAGGGTTCGCAATTTCCCATATCAGAGACCTGCAACTTTTATGCTTAGACGATTTTAAAACCCATTTTCCATATTTTCTCAAACATAAACACACTTAGGCGATTTTTCAAGAATTTCTTCTTCTCCAAATCAATTGTAAGTCGTTTTTAACTAACTTTCTTCAATTCTTAACATCTTTTAACATGATTTCAACCTAAAATCAATGATTTTCATGGGGGAAATTGGGTGTTTTGGGTAGAACCTAGGTTTTTCAAAAATTGAGGATTTGTACCTCGATTTGAGGTTCGATTTCAAAACAAATTATATATTTGGGTTCATGGTGGAATGGGTAATCGGGTTTTGGTTCGAACCTCGGTCTTTGACCATTTGGGCCCGGGGGAGATTTTTGACTTTTTGGGTAAAACTTTGGAAAACTCATTTTCATGCAATGGGGTTGATTCATTTAGCGTTTATTGATGTAATTAAGTAACTTGTGACTAGATACGGGCGAATTGGTGGTGGAATCAAGGGGTAAAGCTTTAATTGAAACGTGAATTGTGTTCGTGGCATCGAGGTAAGTGTTTGGTCTAACCTTAGCTTGAGGGATTAGGAGTTGTGTCTATTTGCTACGTGTTAATTGTGGGGTAAGACGTATAGGCATGGTGACGAGTATCTATACGTTGGTGTCCCGTGAGTCTTGTGTTATAATTTGTTATGACTCCGTTGTGGTTTATTATGCCTCACATGTTATTATCATCACTATTCCCTTGCCGGGATGTTTGTTTGATATTATTGTTCCCTTGTCGGGATATTGTTGAGATATCATTGTTCCCTTACCGGAATGTTGTTGAAATATTAATGTTCCCTTGCCGGGAAGTTATTATGTTGTTCTTGTTCCCTTGCCGGGATTCCTTGTGATTGTTGTTGGTTGTAACTGGGAGCGGGTGGTACGCCTACCACAAGATATAATGAAATGGGAGCGGGTGGTACACCTACCACAAGATATAATAAAATGGGAGCGGGTGGTACGCCTACCACAAGATATAATGAAATGGGAGCGGGTGGCACGCCTACCACAAGATACATGAAATGGGAGCGGGTGGCACGCCTACCATGATATACATGAAATGGGAGCGGGTGGCACGCCTGCCACAAGATATGAGAAATGGGATCGGGTTGCACGCCTGCAACAAGATGTGAAAAGAAAGTGAAATCTGCCTTTGTTTTTCTTTATTCATGTTAGTGGTTGGATTTTGATTCCTTTATATTCTATTGATATTCTGTTTTTACCTGTTTTTCTCCGAAGCATGTCTCCCCCTCCCATTTTTACTTGTTTTTTCCGTATTTCTTTTCCACTATATATATTTAAACTGCACAGGTTTATTTGGTAGTCCGGTCCTAGCCTCGTCACTACTTCGCCGAGGTTAGGCTAGGCACTTACCAGCACATGGGGTCGGTTGTGCTGATACTACACTCTGCACTCTTTTGTGCAGACTCCAGCGTTGTGGACTTCGGACCGCAGTGAGATTGCTGATTCTTGATCATCAGGCGATCCGAGGTATCCTGCAGGCGTCTGCAGGCCTTGGCGTCTCCTTCTATCTACTATTCATGTTTCTTTCATGCATTTCTAGAGACAGTGTTGTATTTATTTCTTTCATACCCTTTATTTGTAGTATTCTTAGACCGTCTGTGAAACTGTACACCAATTCTGGGTAGTCGAGACTCAAACATTTGTATTAGATATTCATGTTCAGATAACTTATTGTTTCCTTCTTCCGCTTATGTTAAATTCCGCTGTTTAAATGTTATTATTTCGAAATTGTTAGTGAATATAAAATGGGTAAAAAGGTAAATTGTGCAGTTAATTGGCTTGCCTCACTCGTATTAGTAGGCGCCATCACGACTCCCGAGGGTGGGAACAAATTATCAGTTTTCTTTGTATGTCACGAGTACCTATTATTAGAGAGTTAGCAGCAGCAAATAATATTAAGTGACTTAGGGTTTGCATTTACCATAACATTTTCCACTCAATGCCAAAACGCAATTAGAAGTATCCCTAGCTTTTTGGTTAATTAATCCTAACCTAAAGCCTAAAATTGTTTTATAGTAGCCTATTTGGAGAAGCTTCTGAAAGCTAAAAGTGCTTAATGTTGTTATAGAAAAACTGCTTCTTTTAGATTGTTGAGGTGTTTGATCAAGTTTTTTCCATAAGCTAAAAAACTATAACTCTTCCCTATAAGTACTTTTGGAATTTTGATCGAGCATAAATTATTGTTCTTATATTGATAAAGTACTTTTAAAATTAATTAGTAAAATACAAATTGCAAAATCTAACTTGATTATAAGGAAAAACCAGATAAAGCATATAATTAGAGGGTAGATAAAGAATTTGAAATGAAGAAAAAGAATATAGAGAACAAGAAAAGCTTGAATGATAAAAGGTTAAAAGAGGTGATGCAAAGCCCTAAGAAGAAATCCAAACCTTTTACAAGGAAAATAAAATAAAATAAAGGAGAGGAGGTACTAGTACGTGACAACAATTACAATGCGTGCTCCTAAAGCTATCTACTTCGGACATTTACTACTCCAACTGTTCAAATCGTCTTCTTCTTCTTCTTCTTTACTTGATCAGTTACTATATTTGTCCAAAACTAATTGCATCATTATATATTTGCCTTTTGTTCATCCATAAAAAGCCCGCGCTGTTAGTTGACCCTTGCTTTAACGGTTATTAAGTTTGACTCTAACATTTCCTATTATATATGAAGTCACATATATAGATTATAAGCAAAAGATTTAAATACAAATAAACTATCAAATTAGTTTGTATATACTTTCTACAATAATTTTAGACTATGTGGTGTCGATCATATCAGACTAATGAAAAATTCATTAGTAAAAGGGGCATTACTTGAGATGAAATAATGGCTGGAGGAAGATAGAGGAATAGAGTTTCTTATTTTCAAAACATCCACATTCCACAACCATGAAAATAGTAAATACAATATGGAAGATGACGAAGACTGCGATTTCTGCCAGATTTTTGATAGCGCTTTAAAACTGTTGGGTCTTTTTCTTATTTATCCTTTTCCTAACACTACCCCACTCTTTGTTAGCATTTGCTATAGATCCCGAATTTATTTTGAAAAATCTAATTTGGGTAAAGTTTGGTTTGAAGATTAAAATGTGTTTGGACATACGTTTTCAAAACATATTTCTCAACTTTATTTTTGAAAAACATGTATATAATTCCCAAGTTTTGGGATTTTGGCCCAAAATCAGCAATTGGGGTGATTTTGGGGTTTGGGATTTTGCCAAAATGTGAGCAAAATTTATGGTCAAACTTGAGTTTTGAAAATAAATTCCAAATTTATTTTGGGAAAACTCATGTCTTTTGGTGAAATTTTTTCTTTCCCTTACAAAACTTTAACTTTTTTTCAAACAAAATGCATATCCAAATACAACTTCAACTTTCAAAAATTAATTTTTAACGCAACTCCAAAAATTCTTTTTTCAAATTTCAACAAAAACTATATTCAAACGCCAGCTAAGATTGACTATTCCTACATGCATTTTGATTGGGCACGAAAACGAAAAAAATTTCTTTTGAAATGTGACTTAAAACTAATCCCTGTAATTTGTGTGGGTTTAAAATGAAAAGTGCATAACATAAACTGAGACCGAGGGAATACCACTTTTAATTTATTTTCTGTTGCTTTTTCTTCTTCTTTCCTAAAGTATTTCTAGCTAGATGGTGATTTTTTTTTTTTACTGTATTCATTAGATTAAAAGAAAATTATCAAGTTTGATATAAAAGTTAAATACTTATTGTTTCCTTTTCCTTTTTCTCATCATTAAGAGGAGAAAAATGATGAAGAAAAGAAAATGATGGCTTCTTCACAGCCATTTTTTCCTAAGGTTTCTCTCAGCAAAACGAAGGAAGAAGAAGAGCCCAAACTATGTTTCTCTCAGACAAAAACCTAAGTTTCGGACTCTTCTATGTTGGGATGTCTAGATACTTCTTTTTTAATCAATTAAATCTGAGCCCTACACGTGGAAGGATCATGCATGGTTATGATGCTTCATTCTCCACCATCTGATCCTTTATTTTATAGCTGAAGTGTAAATATTGTTTCTAGAATAAGCTCTCACGTGGGACTCACATGAGCACATTGAAAGGAATAATTTATTGTTTTTCTGTTACATTGTAGACAAATAGAATTAGTACAAGTGTATAGGAATCTTCTTCATTTTTGTCATTACACAGCAGGATAAATCTGTATATATAGGATTACATTTTTGTGAATACAAGATAGAGAAAATTTTCCACATTTCTTCTGTTTTCCCTTCATGGTATCAGAGCAGCAATAGCTCGATCCAAATATTCTCTCTCTCAGATTTTTAGAGTTCATCAATGGCAGGAGAGGAAATTCCTCCTACATCTTCTGCTCCTATCAACTCTGGTTCAACCAGTCAAGTCACTCCACAAGATGTGAATCATCCTTATTTCCTCCACTCTTCTGATGCACTTGGTTTGAGTCTGGTGACCACGCCTTTTGATGGTAGAGGTTTTGCAGGATGGAGAAGATCAATCCTCATAGCCTTTTCAGCAAAGAACAAGATATGTTTCATAAATGGAGCCTCTGTCGAGCCAAAATCTGATGCTCAAGATCACCCACAATGGAGTAGATGCAACTTCATGGTGACTTCTTGGCTCCTGAACTCCTTATCCAAAGAGATAGTTGACAGTGTCATCTATTCCAATTCAGCAAGGGATCTGTGGAACAGCCTTTAGTACAGATTTGGCCAAACTAATGGAGCCAAACTGTACCAGTTGCAGAAAGAAATATCCATGTTAGTTCAAGGTAACAACAGCATTGCAGGATATTTTACCGCACTAAAGAAACTATGGGATGAACTTGACTCTCTCAATTCTCATTTGGTATGTACTTGTGACTGTGTTTGTGATGGAAGGAAAAAGGTCACTAAGTTCTTAGAGGACCAAAGGACTATTCAATTTCTAATGGGACTCAATGATTCCTACTCCCAAGCAAGAGGAAATATCCTAATGATGAACCCATTGCCTGGAATAGATTTTGCTTATTCTCTTCTTCTTCAAGATGAGAATCAGAGAGAGATATATGCAAGACCACAATTTAATGGTGATGCTACCTCATTCATGGCAGGAGTACAAGGGAAATTACCACAAAGAAACAACAATCAATCACAACAAAGGACATGGACCAGCTCACAAAAGGTTAATGGCACACAGCAGAAATCTAAGGGAAGAAAATCAAGGTTTAACCCTAATGTGAGCTGCACACATTGCATGAAGACTGGGCATGTCAGGGCAGAATGTTATAGGCTGAATGGATTTCCAGATGACTTTCAATTCACTAAATCAGCACAAGTGAAGGCTAATGCTACAATTGAAGGACAAGATAATGAAAATGGGAGCACTCAAAGCAATGAATCAACGCTTCAAACTCAGTTTTTCAATAAGGAACAGGTCTCTGAGTTAATGAACCTTATCAAGCAGGCACAATTTGGAAATACCACAGCTCCAGGAACTGCAATTAATGCAAATGCAGTAGCTGGTACCATTCTTAAATACTCTGGAACTTGTTTGGCAGCTTTTAACACAAAAACATGGATCATTGATTCAGGGGCTTCTGAACACATGTGTTTTGATTCGAGTTGTTTTTTATCTTTAAATCCACTTTATGTTCCTATAGACATTAGCCTTCCTAATTCATTTCAATTGTATGTCACACACATAGGTAGAGTTTCTATTCAATCTGATATGATTCTTGAAAGGGTCCTTTATGTCCCTTCTTTCAAATATAATTTGCTATCAGTCCATAAGTTCTGTGTCCAGTTTCACTGTTCACTCAATCTAACTTCTAGTGGGTGCATCATGCAGGTCCCTTTAATGAGGAGGGGACAAGCTTTTGGTGAATTAAGAGGAGGATTGTACCTGCTGGATCCTAGTCCAACTAAGATAGTTTATGATTCCAGTTCAAGTAGCAATGTTTTAATTCCAAAAGGAAGTAATTCCAGTCTTGTTCCTAGCAAGGTTTCCTGTTCTGTTTCTAATTCCTATACAGAGAACTCTAATGTACTGCAATGGCATGTTAGATTGGGACATCTACCATTCTCAGTAGTGAAAAATCTTCAGTTCATCCATTTTCCTTCCAATTTTAATTGTGTGTGTGATATCTGTCCAAAGGCTAGACAAAGTAGATTACCTTTTCCCTTAAGTCAAATTAGAACTCATGGATTTTTGATCTTATTCATTTTGATGTATGGGGACCATTCAAAAACACCACTTACAATGGATACAAATATTTTTTAACAGTGGTTGATGATTTCAATAGGGGAACTTGGACTTTTCTTTTAAGTTCCAAAAGCAATGCTTTCACTGTTTTACAGTCTTTCTTAATTATGGTAGAGAGACGGTTTGGAAAGAAAGTAAAAAGAATCAGATCTGATAATGCAATGGAATTGGGTAAGGGATTCTTTCAATCTAATTTCTTTCAGTCTCAGGGTATCCTACATGAGACTTCATGTGTGGCAACACCCCAGCAGAATGGAGTTGTTGAAAGAAAGCATAGGCATCTTTTCGAAGTGGCTAGGAGTTTGTATTTCCATTCACAAGTTCCTCTTCAATATTGGGGAGAATGTGTTTTGACTGCTACACATCTAATCAATAGGTTTCCTTCTAGAGTTCTAAATGGAAAAACTCCCTATGAGATTTTGTTTAAGAGGACACCACAATATGAACAACTCAAATCCTTCGGTTGCCTATGCTATGCATCTACTCTCTCACAACACAGAAGCAAATTTGATCCCAGGGCCCAAGCTTGTGTGTTTCTGATATGCACAACAACAAAAAGGATACAAATTGCTAGATTTGCATTCCAAGAAAGTTATTACCTCAAGAGATGTTAAATTCCATGAAATGATATTCCCATTTGCTTCTGCTCCTATGACTTCACCCTCATTGTTTCCCTCTTATCCTTTCTTCCCTAATTATCCTGCCACTACTGAAACTACCTCCCAGAATTTTCCATCTCCCAGCTTACCTGCTGATCATCAGCCACACTCATCTGACTATTTCCCATCTCAGACTTCTGATAACAGCCCATCTACTTCTACCCATGCTTCTGTTACTCCTATTTCTGCACCCAGTCTTCCACATTCTCCTATATCTCCTACTTCTTGTCATACTCCACAGCCTACCATACCCACTCCACCACCCCCTCTTAGAAAATCTGAGAGAATTTCCCAGAAACCTACCTACCTTGATGATTATGTGTGTAACAACATTGTTTTCTCTGATCTTACCTCATCATGTTTTCATCATGTTTCTCAACCTCCTGTGTTTTCTTTTGGAGATATTTCTCCTAACAATCAGGCTATTTTCAAATCTATTTCCTCAGTTTCTGAACCTACCAGTTATACTCAGGCTTCTAAGGATCTTGGATGGAGAAGAGCTATGGAAGCTGAAATCCAAGCTCTTCAACTGAATCACACCTGGGATGTAGTGCCCTTACCCCCAGGGAAGAAGGCATTGCCTTGCAAATGGGTATACAAGGTCAAACACAAGTCAGATGGATCCCTTGAAAGGTTGAAAGCAAGGTTGGTGGTCAGGGGGGATATTCAAAGAGAAGGTGTTGATTATTTTGAGACTTTCAGTCCAGTGGTCAAAATGACCACCATCAGGTGTTTACTGACTGTAGCTATAAAGAAGGGTTGGGAGGTCTCCCAATTAGATGTTAACAATGCATTTCTGCATGGAGACCTACAGGAAGAGGTGTACATGAAATTTCTAGCTGGTCTCACTCCCTCTCACCCTAATCAGGTGTGCCTACTGAAGAAATCACTCTATGGATTAAAACAAGCATCCAGGCAATGGTATGCTCGTTTGGCAGGGGCTCTTAGCTACAAATGATATTCTAGTTCTTTGAATGACTATTCTCTATTCTATAAGCACACAAATCAGCATGTTTCCATCATTGCAGTATACGTTGATGACACTCTTATCACAGGAAATGATGATTTAGAAATATAGCATATTACTAAGTTCTTGGATTCTGAATTGAAAGTTAAGAACTTAAGGACTATTCATTATTTCTTGGGGATGGAAATACTCAAAGAACAACAAGGATATATAGTGAGTCAAAGGAAATTTACCTTGGAACTATTGGCTGAGTTTGATTGCAAAGGGGCTCCTGTTTCATCTCTTCTTGATCCATCTTGCAAATTGCACGCTGACTCAGAACCACCCATGGAGGATCCCACTATTTATCGGCGTTTGGTTGGTAAACTTAATTATCTTACCAACACTCGCCCAGATATCTGCTTTGCTGTTCTTTGTCTTAGTCAATTTATGCAAAGACCCTCTCTTTCTCATTTTTCTGCTGGACTCAGGGTTCTTCGATACCTTAGATCAGACCCAGGTCAAGGTATTCTCCTCTCCTCTGCTCCCTCCTTTGATCTTATCGTTTTTTGCGACGCTGACTGGGCTGCCTGTAAGGATTCTCGTTGATCCATCAGTGGATTCTTCATTACCCTTGGTGGTGCTCCCATTTCATGGAAATCGAAGAAGCAGATTTCCATTTCCTTGTCATCCGCTGAATCTGAGTATCGCTCCATGCGTCGTGTGACTGCTGAAATCACTTGGCTTGTTCGTCTTCTCGCTGATTTGTCTGCTCCTCCAACCTTGCCGGTACCTTTGCACTCTGACAGTCAGGCGGCCATTCATATCGCTCGTAATCCCGTTTTCCATGAACGGACCAAACATGTGGAGTTGGATTGTCATTTTGTCAGACAGCAATTTCTTGCTGGTTTGATATCTCTTTCTTTTGTTCCTTCCAAGGACCAAGTCGCAGATCTGTTTACCAAACCTTTATCCGGTATTTCTCACACCAATATCATGCGCAAGCTGGGGGTTTTGTCTCTACCCACCAGCTTGAGGGGGGATGATGAAGAAAAGAAAACGATGGCTTCTTCACATCCATTTTTTCCTAAGGTTTCTCTCAGCAAAACGAAGGAAGAAGAAGAGCCCAAACTATGTTTCTCTCACTGCTCAAGAATGGAATCTATTTCCTCTTGAAATAGAAACAGACTGCATACAGGCAATACAATGCATATATGAAGGAAATTACATCTTTAACGACATTATAACTGCATGCAGGTTGTTAATGCTCCAGAAGAAGGACGTGATCCTGAGGCACAATTTCAAGCAGGGGAATGAAGTAGCACATATGATGGCAAAACAAAATGAATCTACAGCAACTAAGAGAAAGCTTTTTGTTCAACCACCTCTTTTTGTGGAAACAGTCTTGAGAAGGGACCAAATGGAAGAAGTAGTTTTTGTTAAAAACTTAAGTCATGATGCTTGTAATAGTTTAGTAAGCTATGGTAACAAATTTGTCCCAGGTGACACTATCTATGGCTGTAATGCTTTGAACCCTATTTAGCTATAATATAAAGTTCCTGTTTTTCGCTCAAAAAAAAGTATCTGTAAATATTAAATTCCAGTAAACTTATTTAAAGGGTGTTTCAAGTAAAATTAATGTTTCACTCACAAATATTTGAACTTTTTTTAATTGAAATTTATCACTAAATACATCTTCTTCTATCTAATATTTTTGTTAACTTCAGCTTCATTTTGTTTTCATCTCAACAAAATATTGTCCAAAAGCCTATTTAGTATGCGCTTTTTACAACATTTGAGTTGAATTTTCAAATAGGAAATTTTTTTTAAAGCTGAAGTTACGTAAGAAAGTTTATGAATGTTGATTTTGTTTGAATATAAATTTCTCTTCAAAAAAAAGAAGGTGAAAAGCCTAAAAGTTAAAAATTTGAGTAAAAGTTAAGGATTGAAAAACTCACTTAAACATACGGAGTATCAAACTAGTAACTTACGTCATTTGAAATCCAGATGATATCTGAGTTGAGTGTTTCAAATAGAAAAAATTCTTTAAAGTTGAATTTTTAAAGTGAATATAGTATGGGCTGGCCGAACTGGTAAGTAAAAAATAGTTAATATTTGTAAAATCGTTAAAAAATCGTCACTATTTTATGCAAAATAAAATTTGGACAAAAAGACCCTATCTGAAACACGGAAAATTCTAGCATAATATACGAGATTATGGAGCTCTTGCCTATAAACTTCGAGAATATTATGTTGGAACTACAGTACATTATGAAATTCTAACACATTATGCTAGAATTTCTTATGTGAAAAATTCGAACTCCATCATATTATGTTAGAATTTTCTCGGATTTTGGGGGTATTTTTATTCAGATTTTCTATTTCTTATTATTTCATAATAATAAAAAAAAAGGTTCATGAATGTTGATTTTGCTTAAATATAGTTTCACTTGAAAAAAAAGGTATTTGAAAGATAATAAGTACCTACGTATTTGACGTAATAAGGAAAATTAGTTACTCGAAAAAAAATGCGGACACTCATTACTAGTAGCGGACACAATACATACCGAAACAAAAAAAATGGAACCCATTTATTTTAATTTTCGGTTGATGCTTATAATTTTATAATTTTGATATTTTTGGGTTATATTTTAACCTATATTTGACAAATATTATAAGTATGTAATTTTTTGGAAAAAAAGATTAGTCTTCAGCCCCTCCCCTCTCTCTCATTGGTGAGCAAGTGGGTCCTACTACCATGTTTCCAGGAGATGTGCGTGGTAGGGCCACAAATTTGACCAAATGGAAACTTAGCATCAGCTTTTGTGATGACGTGGAATGATCTGCGAACCTTGACGACGGCTGCTTTTTGACAGTGTGAATCGAATCTCCGCCGTCGATTTTAGTAGTCGGCGTGCTTTGCTTCCGCATCCATCCACGTAAGTAGCTTTGGTCGGCGTTCATACAATAGGAAAAAGGCCAACTTTTAAGAATAAAAAATGTTTCTTACTTTTTTCTCTAAATAAAGTAATTTAAAACATTTTAAACAAGCGGTATATATCATTCACAATTAGAAAATTTACGAAAGGAGTCATTGTCAATAATTTCAAACTTTGCTCTACTTGGACACATAAGAAACTGTAAAATTTCAATAACTTTAATATAATCCAATATCACCTCTTTTATTTTTTCATTGGAATAAGAGTTTAATTTATTACATAATATTCAAAATTGAGTAACTTTCGATATTAGAAAAAAAAAATCTCATTTTTATTCTTACTCCCTAACATAGCTCTTACATGATGTTTGCACCTATTTTCTAAAAGAATTTGGAATTATATACATTTTTTATGCTAGAGCTTCGATAATAATAAAGGCAACCACAAAATGATATGCTCGAGATTATTGAATTTTTTTGCAATTGCAATCACTTCACTGCAATCAAGTATCACGTTTTTATTTTTTTCTATTAGGAAAAGAATTAAATTTGCTTATTTACAATCAATACTTGATTAACTTTGTCATGTGTTAAACTGTCTTTTAACCTTTTCTTCATATCTTACATTTATTGATCTAGAGGGTGTTTGGCTAAGCTTATAAGCCAGTCAAACTAGCTTATAAGCACTTTTCGGCTTATCTATACGTTTGGTAAAGTTAAAATTGCTTATAAGCCAAGTGCTTATAAGTCAAAAATAAGCCAAAAGCCATAAGCTGGTCACCCCCAGCTTATGAATTTTTAGCTTATAAGCACTTTAAGTTTGACCAAGATTTTTACTATTTTATCCTTATAATATTTATTTTTAGAACAAAACTCTTACATTGATACTCACTACCTCAAGTATTCAACCTACCCCCCCCCCCTCCTCCCCCTTCAAGTCTGCAATTCTCATTGATTATTTAAGATAGGCAAATTCTCTATTCCTTTGCATATTTATATCTATGTGTGTGTATTAATCTTTGAACTGTATGTAAAAATGAGGACATATCAATTTTTTGGTGTATTGCTTTCTAAGTGTTGTGGTGATGGAGACAATGTTTGTTTCTCTTCAAATAATTTGTCCTATTTAGGTTTATTTTTTACTGAGAAACTATTGTCAATTTATTAATTATTATAACTTATGATTATATGCTTATAATAAATAAATTATATTTATTATAAAAAATTATCTTATCTAAGCATAGTTGTATTTATAATAAAATGACAAATAGAGTATTTTGTATTTAAATCGATCTGGATTCTAAGATTTTGAAGAAATTACAATCTTATAAGTGTAAACAGTTCTAAGGCTATTTAAGTTATTTTAACATAAAAAGAGTTTATCAGCATTTTTTTACCAAATACTGCAGCAACTTATTATCAATATCAGCACTTGTACCCAAACACGTATTTGCTTATTTATTAAATCAGTTTCAGCACTTAAAAATCTTTTCAGCACCTAATGCTTATCAGCTACTTCAAATCAGCTAATCCAAACCAGCTCGTAGTGAGAATATCAATAAATTGTTAACCCATTTATTTGTACATCCTTTCTCAATTAAAACTTTTTTCCCCAACGTTTCACAATCATAACTTTTTTTCCCCAACGTTTCTCAATTAGTACTATTGGAAAAGAAAAAGAAAAAAAGAAAAAGGAGAGAGAGTAGGTGAGGCGTGGCATTTAGCAGCCGAAAATCCGGCAGCTTTAACGGAGTTGCAATGACGTATTAGGGCATTAGTATATTGTTTTAACCACTCACTATCCCACGAAAAAGCGACATATTTTTGTATATCAAGATTTCATCTTCTTTTTTAAGTTTACAACTTAATCCCACTACTTTGTGATAATCGATAATCTTGAAATTAGGAAGGCTAAGGTTTGTATATTAATCCTCCCAAGTTCCATGAAGGTAATTAAGAAGAAGTGATCTTTGTATATTAAGAGCTTGAATTCCATTTACTCCTCCTTTTTTAATGACAAATTTTCTTTTATTCCGAGAAATGCTAAACTATTTTCAAAAGTTGGACCCTTTTTTGAAGGGAAAACAGAAGAAATGTGGAAAATTTTCTCTATCTTGTATTCACAAAAATGTAATCCTATATATACAGATTTATCCTGCTGTGTAATGACAAAAATGAAGAAGATTCCTATACACTTGTACTAATTCTATTTGTCTACAATGTAACAGAAAAACAATAAATTATTCCTTTCAATGTGCTCATATGAGTCCCACGTGAGAGCTTATTCTAGAAACAATATTTACACTTCAGCTATAAAATAAAGGATCAGATGGTGGAGAATGAAGCATCATAACCATGCATGATCCTTCCACGTGTAGGGCTCAGATTTAATTGATTAAAAAAGAAGTATCTAGACATCCCAACATAGAAGAGTCCGAAACTTAGGTTTTTGTCTGGTGAGTCCTTCAAGAAGAGCCAGCAGTTCTGATTCCAGTGCTCCATTTGTATGGATTGCTTTTGTGAAACCTACTATCCAACTCCCATTTGTGTTTCTGAAAACACCTCCCAGTCCACTTTGTTGATTTTTATTAAAACTGGCATCAATGTTAAGCTTATACCACCCCTTAGGTGGTTTATGCCATTTTACCCTAATGTGTTTCTTCTTTAAAGGGTTGTTTGTATTTTCAGTTAGGAGTTTGTATTCAAGGGCTCTTTGTATTATGAGATTTATATTAATAGTGTTGGAGCTATTATTTTGGTTGTTGTTATTTCTGTTAATCCAGGTATTTCATAGGATAAAAGGGAAAAGGGTGTTCCAGTCAATCAAGGCCTTATGAAGATTAACATTCAATTGCCTTACTTGGAGAAACCAGTGGGTGCCATTTGTACTGTATTTAAACTGTCATCATGTATTTGTCCCAAAAGGAACTACTAGCTTTACATTTGAAAAAGATATGGAAAGGTGTTTCTTCTTCAGTCTTACAAACGGGGCACATAGGATCAATGTTTATGGAGATGTGTGTTAGATAGGTTCTACAAGGAAGTCGATTGTGAAGGCATTGCCACATGAAAATTTTTATTTTGTTTGGACAGTTTTGTTTCCAAATCCAATCAAAATCTAGGTTACTAGGTTTTGATGACTCTATTAGAGTGTAACAAGACTCTGTGAAGAATATACCCTCGTTAGTCATTGACCAGATCGGCATATCCCATTTTGGCCCATACTTTCTAAGTCTTACTTTAAAAATCTGTTGCTTTATAGTGTCCGGGAGTACAAATGAGAGGTTGTTAAAATTTCAGTTTGTACCATCATGGATATCCCTAATTCTCATATTTAGGTCTTTAGGAGAGAGAGGTCCCTCAATTAGACCCCATAAAT